AGGCACAATGACTGCCTTCACCATGCTCACATGTACAATGACTGCCCTTCACCACCCTCACAGGTACCCCTGACATTCACTTTCTCATTTCACGTGAAAAGGGACTGACAACTTTGTAGTAGTATCTGTCTTTTTGTCCATTTACTTCTGAATATTTATGCCTCCTTCATATGAGAAAGGAATGACAACACCAGAGTGAGAAAACAATGCCAGAGTGAGATAGATGCGTGTGAGAGGCAGACAGACAAGTTTACACCTCACCTGGGAGCTTGGGGCTAGTTTCCTGTGGGAGCAGGGGGACAGTTTCCTCCTCACTGTTCCCTTGGGCAGTTCGCTTCCTGTGACAGATACCAGCAGAGACCCTTGCAGATGATTGATCTGAGGCTTTACACAACTTTAGGAAGACATTCTCCAAGGTCTGAAATAAGTGAGAGAAAGAAATCAGAACATTTTTTACCAGCGTGCTATCATGTATAATTCACATCATGACAATTCGATTCAATCCCAATTACTTACTGCGACGTTGTGGAATCTTATTAAATAATCAGGTGGAGCTTCGGCCAGTAGCTTACTGTTCCTCATTAACCCAACCTGAGGGACAGAAGGAAGAGGTCTGATCACAAATACAGGAATTTATTTGTGGCATCTCATTGTCAGAAAGCTCAAGGTCACTTGAGGCATAGCCACAGGAAGTCGGATTTGAAGGCACACTGTACTCATTGTCCATTGTAAGTGAATTCCCAGGCTGAGCTCTCACTGTTTGAAGGCATTTAAGGAGAGGAGAGACTCTTAACCTGGAGGACAAACCTGGAATGAAAAAGATTGAGAAAGGAAAACCAGAAACTCCAACAGCTCTCAGTAATCAAATCTGTAACAAAGCACAAAGGACTTTGGGAATATTCAACACTGTGTGAAACCTTCACATCGACTCACAGTTTCAAAACCATTTTCAAAAAAGTTTAAAATGTCAACTTCAAGCATGGAGTTACATCAGGAACAAGAAAGATGCTTGTGGTTGTTAGAGGTCAGTCATCCCAGCTCCAGGACATCTCTGCAGGAGTTCCTCAGGGTAGTGTCCTAGGCCCCACCATCTTCAGTTGCTTCATCAATGACCTTTCAACCAGGGGAGGATTAGAAGTGGGATGTTTACTGATTGTAAGATGTTCATTACCATTTCCAAACTCCTCTGTCGCTGAAGCAGTCAGTGTCCCTGCACAATGTTTGGGATTAGAAATACAATACCTGTACGAGAGTACATTCGACACTAGACATCATGTGCACATGATCCCCAGTCAAATGGAAAGGCTGAAGCAGCAGTGAAAATTGCCAAAGGGATCATGAAGAAATGGAACAAATTCATCACAAGGCATGCCTGAAGTGGGGAATCACTCTGACTGAAGGCAGGAAGAACTGTCCAGGACAAAGTCTGATGTTGTACCACACTGAAGCTACTCTTCCAATAGCGAGTAAAGCTACTGAGGCCAGGTTTGGTAACAAGCTTGAATAACAAAATCCAGCAGAAGCAGCAGATGAATGACAAGCCCGCTGAACTATTGCCAGAGTCGGGCACTGGACTGCCAGTCGGTGTACAACCATTCAAAACCCTCACCACGTCAGCCCAAATGGCTGGAACCTCCATATGGCAGTCAGCACCCCAACTGCTGCTGATGGAAGTGCGTAACCAGATATACCGTCACAACCACAGGCACAACTGGAAAAGCTGTTCCTCAAATGCGGGATCCACTATCAGAACCAAACAGTCACATCATTTCAACAGAGGAAATGGAACAGTAACAGGTACCATGGCCAAAATAGTGCCATGGAAAGACAGTCTCTGGAAATGGAACATCACTCAGATGACCAGCCAATGACAATGCACATCATGAAGAGACTGGCATGAGTTAAAGTCTCTGTGTGGTACACATGCCCAGAGACTGATGAGAACAGTGAACTGCAAATGCATATGAACTGTTGAATGCATTGTGAGTAATATGGATAACTCACAGTTTAAAGGATAATGCATGCAAGATGTTTTAAATGAAAAGAGGGATGTTTAGGATAGAAATGCAATTCTGTACTAATGTGGCTCCTGGTTTACCATGGTCATGTGACATCTCCCATGAGGCACTTAGTGTAGGCATCTATCTTACAGCCAGGTCAATAAAAATTGAGCTGGTCACATAGAACAAGACTTGGACAACATTCAGGTTTGTTCTAATAAGTGATAAGTAATGTACCCTCCTCACAAATACCAGGCAATGGCCAACTCCAATAAGAGACAATCTAACCAGTACCCCTCAATGACATTCAATGGCATCATCAGTACTGAACCCCCCACTATCAACATCCTGGGGGTTACCATTGACTAGAAACTCAACTGGACTCACCACTAAACACAGTGGCTACAAGAGCAGGTCAGAGATGAGGAAATAACTCACCTCCTGACTACCCAAAGCCTGCCCACAATCTATAAGGGACAAGTCAGGAGTGTGATGGAATGCTCCCCACTTGCCTGGATGAGTGCAGCCCCAACAATACTCAAGAAACTTTACACCATCCAGGACAAAGCAGCCGCTTGATTGGCATCACATCCACAAGCATTTACTCCCTCCACCACCGACACTTGGTAGCAGCAGTGTGTACCATCTACAAGATGCACTGCAGAAATTCACCAAGGCTCCTTAAATAGCACCTTCCAAATATGGACCTCAGTGACCTTGGAGATCCCCTGAACATCTGCTTCAGGGTGTTGTGAGATCTCGTTTACTGCAAAGTGAGGAGTTTAATGGCAGAGGAAGTTCCCATCTGCACATTCAGATATTTTGCTGCTGAAAGTATCCTGTCCCTGAACTTCCCAGACTTTCCTCAGAAGCCCTTTGCCTGGGTGAGATCTGACATTGGGCACACATTACCAGCTGGTCAGCTCGGTCAATGGGGTGGGGGTAGGGTGGGGTTGGTTGGTGAGCAGTGACAATATGCCAGCCCCCCTGGGCTGGTAACCTGGACGCCTAGCCTCATGTTCTGGGGACACGGGTTTGAATCTCACCAGGGCAGATGGTGAAATTTGAATTCATCAGAATCTGGAATAAAAAGCTAACCTAATAGCAATGTAATCATTGTCGATTGTTGTAAAAACCCATCTAGTTCACTAATGGCCTGCAGGGAAGGAAACTGCAATCCTTACCTGGTTTGGCCTACATGTGACTCCAGGCCCACAGCAATGTGGTTGACTGTTGAGTGCCCTCTGAACTGGCTGAGCAAGACCAGGTCCAGGACAATTAGGGATGGCCAATAAATGCTGACCTATAACCAGTGACACCCACATCCCATGAACAAACTTTTGTAAAAATCCAGGTGTTAGGGAACATGGGCCTTTGTAAAGGATGGACAAAGTACACTCATGGACACTGAGTAGTGGGGCCTGTAGGCTTCAGACTGTCCCAGATGAAATAACAGAATTCATTGTCAGGAGTAAACCTCAGTATTCTCAGTACCACAACTATCATTCGACACCATCCTACAGAAGAATTTGAGTGGAACAACTTTGCAACACAAAGGTCTTGTGATGCAGTGGATAGTTTCACTGTGTCTCTGAGCCAGAAGCTCTGGCATTGTACAACCCGATGGTCCAGGAGGGTGGGTTCATAACAGAGAAACAGGTCGAGTATCAACCTCAATCCTTTCAGCACATTCCAACAGCAGGCAGCTCAGTGCATTTAGATGGGGCCTTAGTGAGACCACAGCTAGAGGTCAGTGGACAGCGTTGGTCTCCTTCCCAAGGGAAGACATGATGTGGAGGTGCCGATGTTGGACTGGGGTGGACAAGGTCAGAAGTCACACGACACCAGGTTATAGTCCAACAGGTTTATTTGAAACCACAAGCTTTAGAGCATTACTCTTTCTTCAGGTGTTAGTGAGAGAGGAAGTATCAGACACAGAATTTACAAGTAAAAGATCAAAGGGTCACACAACTGATAAAGATATATTAAAACAAATCTAAGATACTGTTAAATCTTTAATCAGTTAGAATGTTTTAATTGATTAATATGTACACATAAATCCCCAAATTTCTTTCAAGTCACTGCCCTGAGAGAACTGAAGGTTTTATCAGTGTAAAGAAGAGGTGACATTTTTGGTCAGCCAATGCATGTTAGGTGTAAGGCCTTGTTTAGAATCTGTTTGTCCAAACAGCAAGGGTTGCTGGGTGCATTGGCCAAATAAAACTCTGAAATCACAAAGCCCACGCACCAAACACGGCAGACCGGTGCTAATATCATTAGCACAATGTAAAAGGTAAGAGTTATCCTGGGCAGACACATCCCCTACAACTTATTCACTAAACAAAGGAGGGCCCAGACAGAAAGGCATTGAATCCTGCTACACAAAGATATTAACAGTAACATGCCAAGTCTGCTGAGCTCTTTCAGCAATTTCTATTTTTGTTTGTGATTTACAGCACCTGCAGTTCTTTTGGTTTTTATCTAAATGATTGACTCTTGTTCCAAACTATTAAGTGTATCTCCCTGATTGGCTAGAACTAAAGAAAGTTCCAGAAAACAATCTAAAAGGTATAAAAATAGGGTTCACTTGCAGACTTTGCTCTTGGAATCTGTGGAATCGTGTGAGGCTCTCTGAAGAGACTAGCATAACAAGAGACAGAGGGAGAAAGCAGCTTCACAGACCCAGAGAGTGACTGCATAAATCTAGAAGAGACTTGGGAAGTATTGTAACCTTAAAAGGCCAAATTGGATTAGGGATAGTATGTTTAGTGTTAAAGATTATTGTAATTTTGTTCCTAATAAAGTTGGGACTGTTTTGCAATGGTATTGGCTTGTTTTGTAGTGATTTGACTGCTTTGGTATTGGAGGACACCTGGCCAAATTCATTCATAATATTCTGGTTGGAGTTGTCTAACTTGTTTTCAGGAGAGACAATTCTTGGGAACAATGACCTGGGATGGTGGGAGACAAAAAATACTGCAGATGCTGGAATCCAAGTAGACAAACAGGAGGCTGAAAGAACACAGCAGGCCAGGATCCATTCCACTTACTGACCGTCCCTTCCAACTACCAACTAGATTCATCCTTCCCATCAACAAACCAGGTTGTATCTACGACTGGTGTCCATCAATCACCACCATTCCGCTAACCCCGTTCCCCCACTCCTTTATCTGCAGCTTCCCCCTACCCCCACATCCAGTCCTGAAGAAGGGTAATACCCGAAACGTTGACTGCTCCTTTCCTTTAGATGCTGCCTGGCCTGCTGAGTTCTTCCGGCCTGCTGAGTTCTTCCAGCCTCCTGTTTTTCTACTTGGGATGGTGGGATAGTCCATGAGGGAATACATTCTGGGCTTTCCATTTGTGGAGTTTAGAAGACTTAGGTGAACGAAAACAGAAAATTGTGACAATGATTGACAGGCTAGATTCAGGAAGCCTGCTTCCTTATGGCTGGGCATGGGAAACCAGGGACACAGTCTCAGAATGAGGGTCAGACTATCCAGCACGGAGATGAAGAGGAATTCCTTCCTTCAGAGAGGGCTCTGACTCTTTGGAATTCTTCATCCCAGAGGATTGCAATGGCTCAGGCCTTGAATATGTTCAAGACCGAGATTGACAGCAAGGGATATGAGGATCACACAGAAAAATGGTTTTGATGAAGATCAGCTATTATGTCATCGAATGGTAGCACAGACCTGAAGGGCTGAATGGCCTCCTCCTATTTCTAATCTCCCTCTGTGAGAGATTCCTGTGCGGCCAGGCTTGATGAGGAATGAGGCCTTTCAGGCCCCTGCCAAAGAACTGCTCCCAGAGAAAGGAGCCTCAGAAACCAATGGGAGGCTCCGACTCTTACACTCTCTCCAGGTAGGGAAAGGGCTCTCACTCTGAGGAAACCTCTCACCTCCTTCGAAAAATCGATGACTCAAACCGTGGAGGCTGTTCCCTGCGAAACCTCAACAATTAGTAGGTCTGTGACAAAATTTCACACAAATGGCAAATAATTCAAATGTACTCTGGGAATGAAGTGGGGATTTGGAGAGGACAGTGGGAAAAGGGGATGTGAAACATGGTGTTGTTTTGGGCGTTGGCAGGAATGGGGAATGAGTCAGATTTGTTCAGAAACCCACAATTCCACTCCTTCTAGAAATTTCTGCACCAAATTGTAACACATTGGCTGCAGGCGTGAATGTTCACAGTGGCCAGTGGGATGACACTGTGGAAAATCATTCACCATTTGCAATCTACACTTTTAAATGCAATTGTGCAACATGCATTAATTCACACACTTTTCAATATCGGGACAGAATAAGTTTACTCCATAACAGTCCCAGACATTCTTGTTCATTCAGACGTTGACAGAAGTGTAGCTACACCTTCAAACAGGAAGAAAGGGAGTGTCCTACCACGTCAGCCTGGCTTGCTTCCTCGGTATAATGAGTTGTTATGATCACTGATACCTTTCGATCTTTCACCACATCAACCAGATGTTGCCATATCCTCCAAATATAAAAGAAGAATGTTAATAAAAGGACAATTTAAAATAGCTGCCCAAGTAAATTCATTTATAATTTGTGAGAATTTGTAATACTTGACAGAGAATCATTGAACTGTTAAGAAACAACATTTTGAGTAAGAAATACCAGGCTCCCATGTTGACATTAACTTGGGCCCAGTCCGAGTTGATACTAAGGGTCTGATACCTTGGTGCAGTCAGACAGACCCCTGTCAAGGTACCAGCTGGAGGACTGGGTGTAATCTTTGCTCTTGCCGTAGAGGGAGTACAACAAAGGTTCACCAAACTAATTCCCGGGGATGGAGGGAATGTCCCGTGAGAAAAGATTAAACAGACTGGGCCTTTATTCTCTTGAGTTAAGCACAATGAGAGGTGATCTCATTCATACGTACAGAATTCTGCCGGGGCTCAGCAGGGTGGACACAGGAAGGTTGTTTGTCCCTGGGTGGGAGGGGAAGGGTGTGTTTGGAATCTAGAACCGGAGACACAGTCTCAGGATAAGGGCCGTGAAAGACTGGCATGAGGAAGAATATCTTCACTCAGAGGGTGATGAATCTTTGGAATTGTCTCCTCCAGAGGGCTGTGGAGTATGTTCAAGATTGAAATTGACAGATTTCTATGGACGGAAAACAGGGATGGATACAGGGATAGGGTACAAAAACAGTGAAGTAGAAGATCAGCCATGATCTCATTGAATGACAGAATGGGCTTGAGGGGCTGAGTGGCCTCTTCCTGCTCCGATTTCTCATGTTCATGTTTTAAAGGAGGTCTCTTTGTAAATTTGGATATCTAACTTTCTGGATACAGATGTTGGATCTGGGTTACAGTGTAAGGAGATTACCTTAGCACAGACAGCCCTTCACCTTTTACAGTGTCCTGGGAACAGGACAGGAAACAGAACCAATCCGCTGATGCTGAAAGTTTCACTGTGTATTTAATATTAACCTGTTGTTCAAAATGCTGACTCCTCATGTGGGTTAGCATGCACTGTGACAGTATGCAATGGCTGTGCAGGGTAGATATATACGGCCACATCAAAACCAGAGATACTCAGAGGGTAGAAAGTGTCTCACAAGGATTGGCCTTTTTGACCAGCAGTGAAGGAGAAACAAGCAGAGACCCTCCCTCCCTCCATCCCTCCCTCCTTCCATCCCTCCCTCCATCCCTCGATCCCTCCCTCCTTCCACCCCTCCCTCCTTCCATCCCTCCATCCCTCCATCCATCCATCCATCCATCCATCCCTACATCAGGGCTGGATTGTTTGCTGCGGTGCATTGACTTTTAAAGACAGACAGATGTGCATGATGTTCTCTCTCAGGTTCGGACTGACCTGAGGTGCATTTTAGAGTCAGAGACTCATACGACACAGAACAAGGCCATTCAGCCCAGTGTGCCTGTGCTGACATTTTCAGAACTATCTGTTTAGTCCTATTCCTCTCTGCCCTTTCCCTGGAATTCTTCCTTTTCGAGTATTCCTCAAATTCTGTTTTGAAAATTATTATTGAATCCATTTCTTTAAGTATTGCATTCCAGATCACAGCAACGTCACTGCTTAAAATAAACTCTCCTAATCTTCCTCCAGCATAAATGTTCAGTTTGATTATAGATGGTATGTTTCAGCTATATTCCTGTTTTATGCAGAAGTGATTGTGGTGGTTTGCCAGATGCTGATTCACCACTGACTTTCAGACTTGGCTCAGCTATTTTAACTACTACGCCCTCCTATGTGACAAAGTGTTTAATTTATTAGTCCTTTGTACTGACGTGTTGATCACAATTCAACACCTACTCACTGTGGAATATTAATACAGAAGAGGAGACTTAAAATAGATCATTAAATCAGTCTGCACTGGGCTGTTTGCCAGAGAAGCGGAGGATGGTTTGAATCAAAAAGTCAAAATGTCCTGGAAAAGTTTTCACACAAAAGTGAAGGCACGGAGAAAGCGAAATTCAAACATAGATATTCCAACCTAACACACATTTTAAAAACACAGGGCAAAGCCAGTGTTGTAGTGGTATTATCACTAGGTTAGTAATCTAGAGGTGCAGACTAATGATCCAGGGACACATTCAAATCTCATTGTCTTATCTTGTCGAATTTAAATTCAATGAGTAAATCTGGAATATAAAGTTTGTTGTTGGTCACGGTGATTGTGAAACTAACATCAACTGTTCTAAAACCCTCATCTGGCTCACTAAGGTTCTTTAGGGAAGGAAATATTTCTTCATTCAGAGGGGACTGAGCCTGTGAAATTCTCTTCCCACAGAAGGCTGTGGAGGTCAGGTCACTGACTATGTTTGCAAAAGCGACAGACGAATTTTTTAGATTTTAAAGGCATCGAGGGGTATGGAGAGAAAGTGAGAATATGGCAATGAGATAGAGGATCAGCCATGAATGGCGCAAAGGGGTGAATGGCCTACTCCTGATCCTAGTTTGAACATTTCTATTTACCGCCCTTACCCAGTATGGCCTAGACATGACTCCAGCCCAGCAGCAACATGGGTGACTCTTACCTGCCCTGTGAAATGGTATCGTGAGTCACTCAGTTCAAGGGCAATTAGGGATGGCCAGCAAAGTGCTAGGCTCACCAGTGATGCCCACATCCAATAGAAGAAAAAAGAAAAGTACATATATAAACAACAGTAAAATACCACTGATGCTGGAAATCTGAAATAAAAAAAAGCAGGAAATGCAGGAAATACTTAGCAGATTTGTCAACATTTTTAGAGAGAGAAAGAATGTTAAGTTTGTGGTCACTGGTCTTTCATCAGAACTGGAAAAGGTGAGAGATGGAACAGGTCTTAGTGGTGTCGGAGTAAAGTATTGGTGTGGATAGAAGATTAGCTACAGTCCGGAAGCACAGTGTAGGAATGAACGGGTTTTTTTCAGGGTCACAAGATGTATCTAGCAGTGTGCCGCAGGGGTCGGTGCAGGTTCCTCAACACTTTACATTTCTATAAATATGATTTAGATGAAGGGTCTGATAGTATGGTTTCCAAACTTACTGATGACAAACATGTGGGAAAGTAAGTTGTGAAGAGGACACAGGAGGCTACCAAAAGATATAAATCAGTTATGTGTTTGGACAAAGATGTGTTTGGATAAAATTGTGTTTGATATGGGAAAAATGTGAAATTGTCAATTTGGCAGAAAGAATAAAAAAGCACAATATCTAATTACAGATCTAATCGAATCAGATTACAGAGCTCGGAGATGCAGAGGGATCTGGGTATCCTAGTGCATAAATCCCAGAAGGTACAGCAAGTAATCAGGATATTGCCAGGGGAATAGAGTATAAAAGTAACAATGCTATGCATCAATTATTCAGACCATTGGTCTTCAAGATATTAACAGCAAAAGACAGAGTAGACAGAAATAAACTATTTCCACTGGTTGGGGATTCTAGAACTTGGGGCATACTCTGAGAATTAGGGCCAGACCGATCAGCAGAGATGTCAGGAAGATGTCTACACATAAAGGGTGGGAGAGGTTTGGACTCTCTTCCACAAATGGCAGTGGATTCTGGACCAGTTGTTAATTTTAAATCTAAGATAGATACATTTTTGTTCAGTAAAAGTATTAAGGGATTTGGTCCAAAGGCAGGTGTACAGAGTTAAGTGACAGATCTCATTCAATGGTGGAACAGGCTCAAGGGCTGAATGGCCTACTCGTGTGTCTAAGTTGCTATGTCCCTGCATTCCTGTAGTGAGCCTGCATCGGGAGTACTGTGGACTGGGTTCCTTTACTAGATTAACACCTGGAGTGGGCAGATTGCCTTCTCTGAGAAAAGGCTGGGCCTGTACCTGCTGGAGTTTACAGCAATAAGTGGCGACTGACTGAGACATAAAATCCTGAGGGGCTTTTGACAGGAGGATGTACAGCAGGTGTCTCCTCTTATGGGAGAGTGAGGGGACACTGTTTAAGATGAGGTGAAACTTTGTCTTTCAGAAAGTTGTGAGTCTTTGGAACTTTCATCCTGAAAAGTGGGAGAATATTTTTAAGGTGGAGGTAGATAGACTTTTGTTAAGGAAGGAATATGGATTGAGGTTACAATTAAATCAATCATGATCTCATTGAGTGCGGGTACAAGCCTGAGGGGCTGAATGGCCCACTCCTAATCCTAATTTGCATGTTATTCATTAAGTAGAAGCTGAGAAAGGAGGACACCTTTCCATTTTGTGAGATGATAGCTTGCCCAAGACAACTCTGTGTCCCGTCAACAGGGGGAGCTGAGGAGCTGCAGTCTGACCTGGCCTTTCCCTGCAGAGAGGACAGTGCAAAGGAGTTAAAACAAAGTTGCTGGAAAAGCTCAGCAGGTCTGGCAGCATCTGTGAAGGAAGAAACAGAGTTAACGTTTTGGGTCCGGTAACCCTTCCTCAGAAGACTGAACTGAGGTTTCTGTGGCCTCTCTGCTTGGCCAGCTCTATAAAAGGGAATGTCTGTGATTGGCTAAAAGGTAAGGGAGATAGAAGGACTAAAGGAGTTGGTGATGGGGCAAGCACAGAGAAACTAGTGGGTGGGGGTTCCAAACTGCTTGAACACAATGTTGAATGTGAAAGACTGGAAAGTGCTGAATGGGAAAGTAGGATGCTGTTCCCCACGATTACATTGGACTGCAGTGGGAGAGTGTGGCACATCAAGGACAGGGTGGGAACAAGCTGGAAAATTTCATTGACAGGTTGCTCGAAGACTGAGTGGTGGTGGTCTACAAGGCAACGGCCCTGTCTCCCTGTGTAGCAGACAGCGGGCCTGGGACTGAACTGAAAGGACAGCTACATGGTTGTTTCACCTGGAAGTGAGTTGGGTTTGTCCTTGAGCAGTGGGAAGGGACAGGGTGAAAGAGCAGGTATAGCACTTCCTCTGTTTGCATGGGAAGGTCCTGTGGGTTGGTGAAGGGATGTTCACGGAGCTTGAAGAGTGGATTCGGGAATATTGGAAGGAACCTGAACGCTGGGAGGGGAGGAGAAGATGTATTCAGGGCTGTAATGAGGGCAAGTTGAATTATAAAGGCTGGTGGATTGAATGTGGGAATAGGGAGGTCCTGTTGTGGGTTAGAGACAGAGGGAGAAGGTTGGGAACGGAAGCATACGGAATGAAGCTGATATGTGTCACAGTAAACATGACAGTCTGTATCTGAGCCTGCATCAAGTCCCAATCACCTGTCACTCCTGCAATCTGAGCAACAGCTGAAGCTAACTTCCTTTCCCTGCTCCTTCACAGTCAACACAGGAACAGGTTTCTGACATCATACCATTTTACTAACCACACAGATATGTACAGTGGTATATGAATGTTAAGGGGGGCTGGAGTGATGACAGGTATGTAACTGTACATCTTAATGACTGACAGATAACAGCTACCTTTCACTGCCCACAACAGACTGTGTGTCCACTATGCTCAACCAGCCCAGCCTTACAAACCCCACAACACCATGTCCAACATTAGATATGATTCTGCTATTGGACAGCATTTAGTAAAAAAATAATAATTACATTGGAAACCAATTTAAAATTATCAGGAGTAACAGGAATACAGAGTACTGGGCTAATGGTAAGATTCTTGGTAGTGTGGATGAGCAGAGAGATCTCGGTGTCCATGTGCATAGATCACTGAAAGTTGCCACCCAGGTTGATAGAGTTGTTAAGAAGGCATATGGTGTGTTAGGTTTTATTGGTAGAGGGATTGAGTTTCGGAGCCATGAGGTCATGTTGCAGCTGTACAAAACTCTGGTGCGGCTGCACTTGGAGTATTGTGTACAGTTCTGGTCACCGCATTATAGGAAGGGTGTGGAAGCATTGGAAAGGGTGCAGAGGAGATTTACCAGGATGTTGCCTGGTATGGAGGGAAGGTCTTATGAGGAAAGGCTGAGGGACTTGAGGCTGTTTTCGTTAGAGAGAAGAAGGTTAAGAGGTGACTTAATAGAGACATACAAGATGATCAGAGGATTAGATAGGGTGGACAGTGGGAGCCTTTTTCCTCGGATGGTGATGGCTAGCACGAGGGGACATAGCTTTAAATTGAGGGGTGATAGATATAGGACAGATGTCAGAGGTAGGTTCTTTACTCAGAGAGTAGTAAGGGCGTGGAATGCCCTGCCTGCAAATGTAGTAGACTCGCCAACTTTAAGGGCATTTAAATGGTCATTGGATAAACATATGGATGATAATGGAATAGTTTAGGTTAGATGGGCTTCAGATTGGTTTCACAGGTTGGCGCAACATCAAGGGCTGAAGGGCCTGTACTGCGCTGTAATGTTCTATGTTCTATGTTCTAAGCTTACAGCGCAATTCATTTGGATGTACTAGAAGTTACATTTATTCACACACTGGAGCCTGTTCTTCAGAGAGCGAAAAGCATTTGTCCACACATTGTATATTCTTGATTGAGGAAAGGGTTACGTAGACAGCCAATGACTGCTCCATTTCCCTTAGAAATGTCCTGACCAATCAGAGTCTGCCTGCTTATCTGAATTATGATTGGTAATTAACAGTTCCTGTCGCATCTCCATGACAGCCATCATCCAACCAATCAGCACCATCTTCTCATGCCATATATAAATTACTGTTCCCTTTCCCTGTTTGGTTAATTTGTGTCCCAGTCCTGATGACAGCACGGTGAAAAGATTTGACTTTATGTTGCTTTTTCGTTCCATACTTGTAAGCGATTGTTTGGTGTTACCTACATCCATCAGCCACAGGGATGATATTTTCCCATTCTCGGGAAATCAGTCGATGAATTCTTGGCTAGTTTACAGTTAGTCCACGGACAGCTCCTGATCCAATGGGAGATGATACAACAATTGACCCAGATCTGTTGGAGACTGGGGTGTGCACCCAGATCTCAGGTCGGGAGCCTGTGTAAGTCCTGACACAACGCCCTTTGTGAAAATTCCCGGGATGATTGAGCTTCCGGTGGGCAATTCCCCCGCTCCTCAGGACTCTCCGTCAATGTTTCCATCAATGAGTTAGGAGTTGGAGGTGGATCTGTGGTACTCACCTGGGTAATTGGTCAGGAAATGTGAGACAGAAACTTCCTTGGCTAATCCCTCAGTAACTATGGACTGACACCTCCCCCATGATTCCCAAACAACAGCCTGACAATTTTTCCCGATTTCCCGATTCCCCAGTGACCCATCCCGACCCAAGTTACACCTGACCACCTGATTCCCCAACAGCGGTCAGTGCCTTTATAAAGGGGACGTGTTTAATATCCCATCCCCGTCTCCTGCACCTACTCCCACCCCCCTACATGTTAGCAACTGAAGGCTCCCTCCACATTTCCAAAGAAGCTGGGATCAGGAGGCTCAGACAGAAATATTGCACAGCACCAGGTCAGACTAAAGAACAGGCAAGGCAGCAATCAGACAGTCTGTTCTATTGGCAGTACAGACTTGATGGGCTGAAAGGCCTCTTCTGCACTGTATGAGTGTTCTGGATTCAAACTGAAAGACTTCAAATCCAAGCACTTGCTACAAGTGGTTTTGAAATATGATTTGTTCCAAATGGTTTAATTTGTTTCCAAAAATACATATGAGACAAAAAGACTGCAGTTTGGTTTACAAAGAGAAATCGTGGGTAATCCAGTTTAATATTAATACCTGGCTCGTAAAACAGGATCTACTCCAACAGTAGGCTCATCCAATAAGGGAAGCTGAGGTTCCTGGAGTAAAGCAGCTCCAAGGGATACACGCCGTTTCTGACCACCACAAAACAGATCCCACCAATCCACTCAATAAGCTACTCCTGATGATTGCACAGAATTCCTGACAGAACTCAGCAGAGAAAGGTAACTCTACCAAGGAACTGAATTTGCACAAGGTTACAGGCAGCTAGCTACATGTTCAACAAAAAACATATTAACTGCAAGAAAACACCCCAACCTTCAACTAAATTCATTTCCGTGGAACTGTTCCCATCCCGAGCAGGAATTTAAATGGCGGGTTTTCACCAAAACCATTCAAAATGTTTCCAACTCACACCAACTCTGCCAACTTTTCAATCCAATGCTTGCTTCCATCCAGAAGGACAAGGGCAGCAGATACATGGGAACACCACCTCCTTCAAGTTCCCCTCCAAGCCACTCACCATTCTGACTTGAAAATATATCGCTGTTCCTACACTGTCACTGGGTCAGAAACCTGGAACTCCTGCATATGTGTCTCTGTGTGTGAATCTCTGAGTGGGAGTCGGTATGTATGAATGTGAGCTGGTGTGTGTGAGTGTGTGCCAGTGTGTGTGAGTGTGTGCTGGTGTGTGTGAATGTGTGCTGGTGTGTGTGAGTTGGTGTGCATGAGTGTGAGCTGGTGTGTGTGTGTGTGCTGGTGTCTGTGTGTGTGTGCTGGTGTGTGTGAGTGTGTGCTGGTGTGTGTGAGTGTGAGCTGGTGCGTATGAATGTGAGCTGGTGTCTGTCAGTGTGAGCTGGTGTGTGTGCTGGTGTGTGTGAGTGTGAGCTGGTGTGTGTGAGTGTGAGCTGCTGTGTGTGTGAGTGTGAGCTGGTGTGCATGAGTGTGAGCTGGTGTGTGTGCGTGTGTGTGCTGGTGTCTGTGTGTGTGTGCTGGTGTGTGAGAGTGTGTGCCAGTGTGTGTGAGTGTTTACTGGTGTGTGTGAATGTGTGCTGGTGTGTGTGAGTTGGTGTGCATGGGTGTGAGCTGGTGTGTGTGTGTGTGCTGGTGTGTGTGAGTGTGTGCTGGTGTGTGTGAGTGTGTTCTGGTGTGTGAGTGTGAGCTGGTGTGTGTGAGTGTGAGCTGGTGTCTGTGTGTGTCTGC